CTTGAATTCTGCTAGGACTCGTTTTTCAATAACTCTCAAGAAACAAAACTCTGTAGGAAGAAAAACGAGAATGAAGCTACAACATTAAGCTAATTACACATGTTAGAATAAAAGAAGGAATTTTGGGCTCAACAAACCTCGTCACTGGCATCGCATATGATCCGGCACTGTATGGCACCGATGATGGAACCCCAGTAGCCGGTGGTGTTGGGGTATACTGTGGAGCGGTGCTTGCAGGCGGTTGATAAGCCTAAAATGCTTCGCCTAAATCGTGTTCAAGTAAGTTGCAAGAACCTTACTGGTGAGATCGAAAGGGAGAGTAATTCCCCAGTGAGTGTTTACTGGCGCTTCCTAATGAACGAGGAAATGAAATGGGGAATGAGCATATATTCAGAGTTGTTAAAAATCAACCCGAATGATTTCACTCTGGAGCCTGTTTAAATAGTGAATATCAGACAGAAAGTCCTTTTTTGAGCGCTATATTCTTAGCAGTATCATTATAAGCGGTTTTCAGACAAAATAAATATGTGTGATACGTGTCAAACAATGACGCTAAGACCATGTAAAAGCCAAGGGTACCCCCAGGAGGCCCGTCGCGCGGCAAGAAGGCCGAGTCAGCGGACGAGTCGCGCGCGTATTAGGGAAATCGCGTCAAGTTAAATAGAATGTCCCATTGCACGTCCTTCATCGCACATCACGCGCTGCGACTCGTCCGCCGACTCTGCCGCGCGATGGGCCTCCTGGGGGGTACCCAAAAACTAAAGTAATATATGAAAAGCCTGCCCCCACTAAACCGATGAACGATCTTCTCTCGAGCTGACAGGGCAAAGTATGGAGCACATATACAGGATGGCGTAAAACTATGGTAACCAAGAAATTATACCACCAGAAACGAATATTAGCTTGCTGAAACAAAGTACTCAAAAATTGTTCGCATCTAATACCATAAAGCAAAATTAGGTTGGATTTGAAATACAGTTGTTCGGAGACAATAAACTTCTTCTCCTCAAAAATCTCTTTTTGCAAGATTTTTGTTTCATGACTAGGTGCCTTGTCCGGCTGAAATGTCCAAGGTGATGTACCCAAGTGGCTTCTTGTCCATGGCAGACATTCGCTTGAAAGTATTTAAGTGAAATTTTACATCAATTTTTCTATTTCGGCGTAGAGAAAGTCGCAAGGAGGAAAACGAGATTCTGCATTCTACATTACTCATGGTGTGACTTTTACATTCTGAGCTGTTCCTTTTCTATCCGAAGTGGTTCCGAACTGATTGAGGCGTCCAACCTTTGCGCACACGAGCTTCTTTGTTACGTTAACTGTCGCTAAAGAATGTGGCGTGCCAGGACCCCTTGTCGATTCTAAAAGGTTGGCAAACCGTGATGTAGTTGTTTCACTCAATTTGAGAACTGTATAATATTTGGTGTCAGTAGAAAGGAGAGACACTGTCCTCTACAGTATTACCGAAAAAAAAAGGAGAAAAATAAAGAATCCGGGATGATGTGGGTTTGACCACGCGCGATAACGGTAGACTCATGGTTTTAGCTCATCGTGAGAATTTCGGGCCTTAATGCACGTGAAGAATCAAGAATAAGAGGGCCAACATAAGAATGAGTCTCCCCACGGTACGATGTATCATTTTAATGAGTGTCACCTATGATAAATGGCGAATGCTCTGCGCTACGCTGAAGGTATCCAAACAACAAGTAGGTGATTGAACTCTAAGATTCCATCAAAATGAGTATACCCTTTCAATTCCTATTACATATACCTTTGAGTAGCAGAAAAATATTCGAATGGTCCCTAATAATGAGATGAACATTGAAGAAAGCGAACCTGGTACTGCTGTTGTTGATGCTGCTGTGCGTAATAGTCAGGAGGAGCGGACTGATTAGTTGGTGGAGGTTGGTACTGTAAATTCGAAGTTTGTGGATATTCTCATGACCCCTATACTCCAGGCTTCTCTCTCAAAGCTACTTAATCTCTCTAAATCACTTCTAAATATTCCCTGAAAAGAATGGAGTTCTGCGGAGTAGGAGGATTTAAGCAGAAACATGTACGCTACTCCCACGCATGTCTCTGTTCAAATTTCAAGATGGATCCCCCTAGGCCTACCAAGCATTCCCTCCGAATTCAGTTAGTTGGCACCGTACCAGGCCGGGTAGATTGAAACAATTCCTGCCATGTGTTATGATACAGTGAGCAGAAAGCTGTGCAACAGTTTGGGACCGACATCACGTAACGACCTCGGACCCAACAAAAAAGTGGCTTCGACATTGGATTTGAAGCAATAGTCCCAGCAGACGGATCGCTCGAGGGGAGTGCAGCTGATTCGCAACCACGCCCACTTTGAAGCTGTTCAGCTCCCTTTCTAGCGGCTTTCCAAGGTGAGTTTTTTGTTCAGTCACACTTCTTATGTTCTTGACTAGGGCTAGCGCATCGTTCACACATTAATGTCGAAGATAAAAACCGTGCTGGGAATGTTGCTCTAAACAAATGAGGAAATTATCGCACTGCAGTTGGTATTCGTGAGTTATGTTTCAAGGTACACTCCGCGATCACAATAAGTGGTTATTTCGATCAAGACTATCTAGAAAAGGTGCGACAAGGAGCTTCAATGAAAGAAAAGAAACGCCATCGAAAGCACTTAAATAGGAGGTCCCCTCCCATTGTATTAGGTCGTGAAGAAAGTTCTTGCGCTTTTCGACCTTGATTTTCAAATGCCTGTATCTCGGCTCATTCGAAACCTTTTTGATTGGAGTAAAGACTGTTAGAATCCACAAACCTCTGCCAATAATAGCTGCGTTGAATCAGCCCGGTAGTGCAGAATACTGGAGCTCTAGAGACGATGAACCCGGCGGAGGTCGTTTCCGCATCATGTTGGTTTTTGAAGCATAACTCTTTGGAGAAGCTATCCAGGTAGTCGAGAAAGTGACAAATTATAGGCAAAAGGTCTACCGAGTAGGATGTTCGCAGGACTAATTCGTAGCCAATCTTGTCCAACTTCTGCAGGGTTGGTTGTGGAATGTGCGTCCGAGCTACCTGTCAGGGACGAGCCGGTTCCTTTATAATGAGGAATTTCGAGCATATGTGCCAGAGTTCTAGGAGTAGTTTGACACATTATCAGGAGTACTTTTTCCACATTAACAGATCCACCTGGTTACGAAAAGCTAGACCAGCCGCTGACCTTATGAAAGTCACCTCAACCTTCCTTCAGTGAAGTTTCACTTTTGCAAAGTTTGTAGAGCCTGATCGCGGTCGATCACTTCACCAAAGGTTCGTATTCTGTAGCAAAGAATCCGTTCTTTGTCGTGCGTCGCAAATGATCAAAAAGTCAGGTCGTTTTCATGGCATGAAACAAGCTAGAACGCGGCGAACGACCCTTCAAAATGGTGAGCTGTCGCGGCACGCCCTATTTGAATTTTTGGGACTTTCCAGCTCTTCCCACAACAAGAAAACACAATGCAAGTGCGATTAGTTTAGGAGGAACCCTCAATAGATTTGTGCAAACGTGCTTCAACCAGAACGTTCGACTAATCGTTGGCGTTGTCCAATCTCCGATCACCACCCTCACAATCTTTAGGGCTCTCGCTATTCTTACAAAGCTTTTTGAACAATTGCTTCAGACCATATTTATTGCGAATCTCAGCCAAGTGCGTCTATAATATCTTGACCTGCTTCCTCTCCATACTGGCCTGCTTTGAGCTAGAAAAAGGAAATCATGCAAATTTGCTCTTGGAGTATGCCGTATTCAAGGCTTCAAAAAATGACAACTAAATAATAAGGAACATAGCTAGCCTAGCTGTTAGATAGAACAAGAAAAGCTCTTCAAAACCACATACAGCTCATTGGCAGCTTGCTTGAATTCGTAACAAAATAAAGCGTTCAAAAACGAAACACCGAAAAGCGCAAGAACTTTCTTCACGACCTAATAATTTTGACAATGCTACACGCAAGAGCACGTAGTACAAGAGGACGCAGAAACCCAGTCGTCGCATTGCGGAAAAAGGGCCAGCTTTCGTGACCGGGACTACTGGCGAGAGCCTGTCGCCCAAAAAATCAGCATCACAGCCCACACGACGGAAACCTTCCGAAAATGCCTGGGAGTGGATCTCATGTCACTGCGGGAAAACCAGTGATAAGCAATACAACGATTTTGCCTGATAAAAGTTTGTTATGAAGAGAGGAACAGTAAGATGGGAAACTATACCGTGCGACCTCCATCCACTTCAAAACAGAAATTGCCCAGGCGATTTCACCCTCCTAAGGCCGATGTCAGACTTTGCGAATCGCGCGATTCGCTACTAGCGATTCGCGCGATTCGCTAGCGTCCGCGGTCGCGTTGCGGTACCAGCCAATTGAGTGATTCACTGGCCGCGACGCGACCGCAGACGCTAGCGAATCGCGCGATTCGCAAAGTCTGACATCGGCCTAACACTTCTTACCTCTCCCTGTTCCTCGCGGTACTTTTTTTGGAACAGTTTTGTTCTTCTCTTTGCATTCGCCTTCCATAAATGCCCATGTAAATCAAACCTTGCCACAAGGGTTCCCTCATAGGGCAGGAAAAGAAAGTCTCCTCATACAGTCAGCTATAGCTGATTTTCGGCTACTGATAAAAGCGCTCGTTCCTTCAAGATTATGATCAAAGTCAATAGCGTCCTATACACTTTTTATGATGTGGTGCTTGATTTTCTTGCCTTGAAAGACAGGAATACATCAGCAGTCTGAAGAAGAAGCAAACTGGAGGGAACTTAGCAACTATCCGTGTAAAATTATTCGTCTGTTACTAGTCTGATGGAATGAGGAAATAAAGATAGCATACTATGGAAAATAAAGAAGTTCGTTCCCCTAGTTAAGCATGGAAATTATCTCACCATCTGTTGTTGAGGTTGTGGAGGTTGTGGAGCCTGCATCGGTGAAGGAGATGGACTGTGTGAGTGGTTGAGTCCATGATCATTGTGGGCATGACTATGTCCGTGCCCGTGCTCGTCGTGCTTGTGATCGTCTCCATAGCCGTGCGATGTTTGTGCTTGCGCAGACGGAGCCGATGTGGACTGTGAACCGTATATACTAGGAGCAGGAGGAGGAAATGATGGTGGAAGCACGAAGTTATTCGGTGGCGGCATGCTAGTGGGAACACCAAACTGGCTTGGATCGGGAAACGAAGATGGTGCGGGAGGCTTGCTAACCTAAACCATGTATAAATTTCCCGAAGTTATTCGAAAGGTCATGATTTTTTTACAAACCTGATCTATCTGCGGAATACCGGTACTTCCAGGTTGCGCCAATTTCGGCTGAGTAGCAACAACCTTGAATCGATTAAAATATTGGATTGATCATAAAAGAACTTTGGGTCAGTTTATGCAATATGATCAGGAAACAATAAAAATGAATAAAGTAGAAGCTCTATCAAATAGAACCGAAAACAAATAACCTGAAAGAAAGTTCTTACCGGAGGAACGGGACTCTTTGGTTTCGAGCGATCAACTGATATTGGGATTCGATGAAGGTATCCATACCCTATATCACATCCTAAGCAACCTTCTCCACCCCAAGCCGAGTTTGGAGTTAGGCTAACCTGGATCAAGTTGAATATTGTAACAAATGATGAGGTCCTTAAGAGAAAACATGAAAATAGCATGACACTGCCTACATACCTCTCTAACCACGTCCGTGTCTACATTGTACACGTACAACTTCAGCGGCTTCCCCTCATTTGCCTTAATAAAACTAATTGATAATAGTAATCAATAGGGGGGTATGCGACATGGATTATCACATACTTGAACAAGAGCGATAAGGTCATCAGCTTGGTTCAATACACTTTCAGCTCCGAGGATGTAGTCGGAATTCGACACCAGACCGGCAATTGAGGCAGGAGAATTAGGCTAAACCGTTTACTTGATTTTTATTCAGAACAAAAGTTTTGCCAACTAATCATGTACTTCTTAGCATTTTTTAAGGTAATTTGCGAGCAAACGGCTCGGAGACTACGGTGAGAAGTGCAATCCAAGAACAATAAAGAATCCGATTTGTTACAAAACGACAAATTGTAAACGAGATCTTTCTCGAATGCTTGATAAAAATGTATTCCATACATCGGCGCAAAGTGTGGAAGGAAATTGATTCGCTTTTTAATATACGGTATTCCAATCACCAATTCATAAAGTACTTTCACTGCCAAAGCCAGCCGAATAGCATACATTATACGAAGTTATACTTTTTTCACTGCCGAAGCCAACCAACGCATGGGAAAACACGCTAAGCGTTCACACACGATTACTCCACAATTCAGGACCTTTCAATCCTTCTATTTCCCATCAACCAGTTCGCCATTTATCAAAGGATAATTACGCTTAATTGTCTAAATTACGTGAATGTCTATAACAAGTAACTAATGTGCGACGCGGCAATATTGTGAGTGTGTAACGATGAAAAAACCTAGTGAGATGAAAGCCATTAGCTCAAGTTACTCGCATAAATGTCGTAAGAAGTTGGCAGACCTTGAAAAATATTAAATAACGAAAACCAGCTAATAGCTGACCTGGACAGAAACAACGTGCCAAACATGCTGACTCGCGCCATCAAATGAACAGAAACGAATTGATACACCGAGCAAACCTTGCCCACCCCACATTTCAGAGGGCACAACAGTAGTTTGCCTCACTGTTTGCGTCTTGCTGAAAATCTCGAAATAAAATCGTGCTCATAGTTGGCAATCCGTGGACTTGCATTTCGAGTATGAAATGGGTATGTTCAATTGGTTGAAATCAAAAAAAAAACGCTAAGGAATTAGAAATCCGAATTGAATAAAAAGGTAGAAATTACGCATCAACATTCACTCGAACTACAGGTACACTGCGAGACAGTCGCAAGCTATGAACACATCCTAACTAGTGTAGATGAATCCGCACAGAAACTGTCAACGAACCTGTTATAAACTGTGACTTCAATAGGTTTTTCTATGTGCTGCTTGAGAATCTCTTTCATGGTGTCGTTATCTTTGTCCTGGAGTAAAGCGTTATCAGTATAAGTAGTCAAACATGACACAAATAACTGAGAAAATCCTACCAGTCTAATATTTCCGATAGAAACGATGAAGTCAAAGAACGGCTCCAAACCAGCCGCCTGTCCAGGTGAATTCTCTTGCACCTAGAATATAAAGAATATGAATAACTTTCAACGCAACCTCGACCTACCAGAGAACGATCAACTTTTGTTTTTCTATTGGTGAGTAAGTTACGAACTTTAGAAGGTTTTGAAGGAAAATTTTGAGCGAGTGCACCTTCCTAGACACCAGATTCACGTTTGAATGCCTACATACTAAGGAATCCTGAATATTACCAACAAGTATTCAGCTGCTTATGCAGCAGTTGAGAGAAGCATGGAGTCTCAAAGCAATGTTATAGAACGAATAGCTGACCCTTGCAATAAAACAAATCTCTGTCAATTCGCTGCTTTGATCGACTCAACTTTGGGCCTACTTTCAATGTCAGGCCGAGCGAATTATATAAATTCTTAATGACATATTACTCTCTTCGCTCTTCACAGGATTTAAATGAAAACACTGTCGCAATAATCAGTA